GAGTGGGGAAGGAGGGAGAAACTGGCTGACTCTTATGCTGAATAATAGTCATTTGGGCAGTTCCGGCTTTATCAAAACAGAATCTCTCAAGGAAACCAAATCTCCCACTGCAAATAAATGGCAAATGATCAACAGGCTAAATAAGTTCCTTTTGAATGCGGGAGTCTGGGAGCTAGAGGTTGGATTTATTTCCCTCCTGGAGGCAATTTTCACACACAATGCTTAAATCATTGCTTACTGAAGCTGTTTATTTAATTATTGAGCATTGTGACTGTGGGCCAGATGTTATATAAGCAAAGCTGACACTGCTCTGAGCCCAGACGACGTGTTATGGGTTCCAGGCTCTGCTGTGGGGCAGCTGCGTCAAATCCTCAGTTCCTCTGCTGGTGGTCCCTCTAAGGCTTCTCCACACAGTCCTAAGGAGGTCTGGGAAAGGAGGTGTGTGCACGCCTCCTTCCTGGGCAGAAAAGATTGTAGGCACAAAGGCACCTGTTTCCCTGGCTCATTCCTGAGTGGGGCTCCAGTCACAGTCAGGTCTCAGGGCATTTGGGCAACTGTCTTCTCAACGCGTCTATCTGCAGACTTTTCCCTTAGCCCTGAAGCTAAACAAATGGCGTTTTTCTATCTGGTAGTATAACAATGCCATGCACACGTCCCCACCCCTTTCCCTTCCAGTGTGGGGGTGCATAATGCCGCCTGCTCACAGCTGCTTCTACCCTACAGAGGGGACATGGATCACAGAGCGCAACACAGTACCCCAGTCGCATTTTTATCATGATAACCATTATTATGAGTAGCCAAGTTCTTTTTTCAATTTCAGGAACACAAATCTTAAACCCAGGGAGCGCTTTCCACAGTTGTGAGGATAGATCTGCTGTATGGAAAGGAACCACACAAACACATTCAGGGGAGATGCATGCAATGGAGGTGGTTCGAAGTCAGCACCTGCAGTAAAGATATGGCATGGATTCAAAGGACCATTGAACACCCCTCTGATAACGCTCACAGTAGGGTGTGTGTGGTTCTGTGTATGCTGTGCTCTCAATCAGCCTGCACAGCCAGGCTCCCCACTGGCACCAGGGCAGTGGTTGAGCACCAGATGAAGCAGCTGGCTTATGGTTAGGGGCCATGACATAGGTCAAATAGGTTTCCCCCTAAAAATGATGATAGTTAGATTTCCGTATGCTAAATGTGTATATATGAGTTTGCATACTTTAGTAGAATCATTAAAACCCTTGCCACATTCTCTTTCTCAACCCAGAAATTGATGTTAGCAGATATTTTTCCCCTAAATTCTCATGGCGTTTGATTCCATTTGGATTCAACCGTCACCATTTTCCGAGTGTGCACTGTGGAGCTCTTCTCTTACCTGTTATCAGCTGAGTTAGCACTTTAGTCTGGTCATTGAGAATGTTCACTGTGACATTTCTGGCGGATTTGAAGTACAGAGCATTACCCTACAATGATAAAGAGAGAGAGAAGCACATGACGATTGCAGTAGATTTCTAAACACTCACCACCACCACAAAACTATAATCCTAACTCTCCAAGAGATTGTACCAGTTTACACAAGTTCCACTTGATTTGTCTTTACTTTGTAACTCCAAATGTTTAATGGGCTTCACACAGATGATATTAAATGGAACATTCATCCAAAATAGATGTCCCCCAAAGACAGACAGACA